GTGGTATAATTTGTCGAGTTAATTTTTTGAACTGCTTAATCGTATACTATGTTATTAAAATGAGCTCAGTCCAATAGGATAGTCGCTTTAACTGGTTAAGATAAGGTATTTTTAAAGCCACCCCAGATATTCTTTATAAAAATAGTTTTATTGTATACCTAACCTGAGGATCTAAGTGAACCTAATACTCACAAATACCTACATATAGTAATTTGGTATTACCGACAATGTCAAAACATAGACTTAAGTATAAAGTATCATGTCGGGATTTAGAAGCAAGCGTAATAAGGTATCGCGGCCTCGGCGAAGGCTAGGCGAAGGAACAGGTCTTTTTAGTCAGTAAGAGAGATATATTTTCGTAAATGGGAGATGTTTTGATAAGGCATCGATTTTTTAGTGTGAAATACGTGTCGAAGTTCTATAGTACTAGTGGTACTTCAGATTAACACGCAACAGCCCAAGTAAAGCGTTTTGTTTCCTCACAGACACAAAACCTGGAGTAAAACACTAGTAGGTTCTTAATACTCAAACTTAATATAGGATACATACTTCGTAAGTAAACGGTATCCTTGAGAAGTCTCGCCGTGTCGTGCCGCAGGGATTTCCTAAAAAGGTGATTTGCATTATTTTTCACCAAGTTTAAATAAAGAGTCGTATCTACGTAAAATGTAAATTTTGGGCTCCTCTGAATGTAAAGTTCACGCTTGATTTTATTTTCATGGAGCGAACGCGGCCTGAATTTTAAAATCACAATGGCCTAAACGAAATTTCATATTATTAATATATTTCCACAGTTTAGACGTGGATTACAGCTAGATATTAAACATTTTTTGCCCTAAGCGGTATAAATAATGAACATTTTGAAGTGGCACAGACATTGTCCTGTGAATGAACGCATTCCTTTACAATTATTTGTCGTTCCCGCTTTATCTTTTTGACTGATGTTTAAAAGGGTTGATAAAATAATGATTTTCAATTGTTCAATAAATATTTCTAAAATTATTATAGGTACTTTTTCATCGTAGAACTTGAAAAGACATTTGAGTTACCAATAATCTTCATTTATATTTACTGAAATCATTAAATTAGTAACCTAAAAATGAGCCAATTACCATTATATTCTTTACCCTGGCATTAAACCTATGAGCCTTTGTCCGGTCTTGTTTTAATATCTTTGAAAAACAGAGTACCTTTCTACTCCGATCAAATTATTCCAGTTTTTTTCCAGACTTTCATAAAGGCTACTAAATGTTTCATGGCTTCAGATGTCGTATTCAATTTTCAAAGAAACGAAGAGAATTTTAATATTTTAACATTATTTTTGAGGACTTTGTGTTTGTAGGGAGAAGTAAATCTAATGTACGTTGACGTATTATATTGAATTCAGTGATTAAACTTGATGGCAGACTGTGATTAATTAAATAATGTGAAGCGTTATTAGCGGCTTGGATGTACATAATGTATCACATAGTATTATATGCACACTCATGTGTAAAGTTAAAGGACCTATATCTATGTACACCTATTATTCTTATTTCGTCAGGACATGACATATAAAAAGGACAGATACATACATGTCACGTTCGGTCTTTAAATATTACCTGCTTTTAAATTGCATAAGAATTGTGTCGTGTATTTTATAAGGAGATCGGCAAACGAGCAGGCAGATTACCTGATGGTAAGCAATCAGCACCGCCGATGGCCGCAACAGAGGCGTTACGAGGGCGTTGTCGACCTTTTTGGGGATAAGGGATTTGGAGATTAAGGGATTGGGGCCTCTCCCCCAGGATTAGGCCTTCGGTAACCTCACACACACGGCGAAATTCCATTCGTGCCGAAGCATGGCTCTCCCATATTTACGTGTTTCTGCCTGTAACGTGTAACAATATTTTTATTATGGCTGGTTTTACAGTCACGCCGCTAGACGCGCCGTTGGACAGCGCGCTGTTGGACAGCGCGCGTTTGAACAGCGGTGCACCATAAAACGACATTAGTACGTCGCGTTTCGCTGCTGACAGTCGTGTACAAACAGATACAAAAGGAACGGCAATGCGGTTAGAGTACTGGCTATTTACTTTTTATGGAAAAAAAGGCAACAAAAACGTCGAAGAACAGTAGGTGTTGATTTCACACAATTCACACAATTCCTTTCCAATTTCTTCCCAGGCTTTATTTTTTGCGTCCTTATTCTTATAAAAATCATCGGCCGGGTCCCATAAACATCTTCTAATTCGCACTTCGTCAATTACTCGACCCGTATCGATGTGATTCATTTTGAACAGTACCTAACGGCACGTCTCAACGGCGTGAGACTAAAACGCACAATGGCCGTAGAAGCGCACGAGCGGCGCGCGCTTCGACCGCGCCGCGCGAATAGGACGCGTTCAACGAACGGCGCTGCTCAAGCGCGCGAATTTGAAACGCTACTAATACCCCAATACATATCCGAGCGCGCGCGCTCCGACGGCGCTGCCGAAACGCGTGACTGTAAAACCAGCCTAAAACTTTCGTGAGACATTACTCACGTAATAACTTGACGAGATACTTGACTAGTTTCAAGCCATGCTAGAACTAGCACTAGTCGAGTATCCCGTCAAATTATTACGTGATTAAGCCGAAAACATAATAATTAGTCATAGTATCAGTAAATCATACGCATAATATACTTTTTTGTGACTGTAAAATACGTAGTTATTATTAAATTGTTGCAATGACATTATAGTAGATAGCCATTTTTTGCCAGTTAAACAAAAATCAATATGTTCCATTATTTTCACATTAGGTACTGCACACCAGTGCTCAATGACAATGAGAGCATAAAATAAGTTTACGATCACCAATTCAGTTTCCATTAGCTAACGAGCATGCAAATTAAGATTCAATTTAAAAAGATGGCGGCGTATAAAACGAGGTATAAACACTCAGACTGAATGCTAGGTAAACGTTAGTTCGCAGTTAGCATTTTACATTTCAACGTTTTTCATTTTTCCGTCCTCGTTTCTTAATCCAGGAAAAATGCCTCACCGCGTCCAACTTGTTTCGCTATCGTCCAACGCAAGACTCAAGGTGCTGACTCTGGAAAAATGGTTATGAACACGAATGTACCTACGTTTAAAATATGAATGCATTTCGCACGCAAACGATGTCTGCTAGGAAAGTTCTTTACTGAAATTCTTTGAACTTTGATACGCTTAAAGTTGTTCGTACCTATGACTCGCTTTTATAACTGATAGAGAAAAATGAAAGTCAAAAGAAAATTTTCTGCTCGAACCAATGATTTTTTTTACATTTATTGAAAAGCACATTGAGTGCTGTAGTCTCGTTCATTATGAATTATGAATAGGCACTTAATTGAAATTAAAATAATATTAAAGACTAAAAATGGCTACTTAAACTTCTTTTGATTTCGGATTTTGTTTTATGATAAGGGGCGAGACTACATAATTATGTGACATATGACCTGGTGGTGTGTAGTCGGTGGCGCCCACAGCAAAAGCGAAGGAGTGTAACCTTAGTGACACTGCGAAATACGGCGGAGGCGTTGTTTCACGCACGTTATATGTGTTGGTTTCTTGAAAAATCAACTTGTTTCATTTCAAAAGAATCGCAGTTGACTAAACACCGTTCCTTCTCCCGCGATGAGCCGAGGCCGCGGTGCCTTATTACGTTTGCCCCGCAACCCCGGCTGAACATCAGCCCTATAGGGCCCCGTCTGTGGTAGTCTATTGGCTCATTGAGGCGCGCGCGGAACCATCGCGGAACGCAACGGGGTATAATTACGTATACATATATACCACTTTGTTCTACTCTGCAATGTGTTTTCAAATAATAAAATCTGACTCGGCTATTTACACAAAACATTAGATACAAGTACTTTACATGTAATCCGCTTAGTTAATCTCTTGAAGCGATTTGAGCGGATTTTATTTTCCTGCTTACATTAGATATTTGTAAGGAAAATTATTTATTTGGAATAAGTGGTACATACATACATACCTCAACGGTTGAGTGCTTGCTAGTAGGATTTCCCCGAAACCCGTTCCAGGATTATGATTTTTATTATATTTTGTGTAGGAACATAATAATAGAAATCTTTATATGACATTAATGTGAATGTTATCATTTACTGACACGGGAGAAGGCCTAGATCAAGTTTCGCTGGATTAATTATAATACGATCCCAAGTACAATTTGTGTGAGAGAGCCATGCTTTGCACAAATGGGCTGGCTCGACTTGCATTCTATAAGCGAGGTTATATTATTATGAGGCCCAATCCTTTGCATCCTATACCCAATCAAATCCCTAACAAACCACAAGAGACCGATAACTCACTTGTAACTCTGTTTATTATGCTGCGGATGTCCATTGGCAAAGCCGATAGCTTCAGATGATTCAGCAGCTCGCTAGGCGGCTAATCCCATAAAAAACCATGCCCTATATTAAAATTTATTTCTCCCTCTTTGTAAATTGCATAAACATTAAACTATAATGTATAATCATCCTTAATTAACACGGCAGACATATTTAATGTCTTCTTTATGTCATAACCCAGTATATAACTCATAAGAAATGGAATTAACTGAGTACATCTCAAGGGATTTCAATATAGGGAAAGTATAAATCATCCCGAGAAATAATTAGAACAGAGCGTCCTTGGCAAACGGTGGAGTCGAGTTTTGTATGATTTAGAAAAAAAAGATATAAGGAAAGAAACGTTTATGTTTATAAACGTATCTATGTATTTAAAATTACGGGGCCAGCTTTTGAAACTTTTAAACAAAGAACTTGTTTAGTTCGTTTTTTAAATTGTTAGAAAAATCTTTTTTTTATTCTTTATTTTTCATAAAATTTCTGTATAAGTCACACTTTTCAAAAAGTATTCATAAAAAGCGTATTCCATAACCACATATACCTAAATACCTAATATGTTCATAAAGTCATAGAGTTATTAAGATATTTAAATAATTTTAATTCGAAATGAGTCTTTTTGTCATTGGTATTATGACCACCAATCGTAGGCTTTAAATACGTTTTCTGGCACATGTACGGTGGTCGCGGTGCAACAAACGAAGTCCTTATGTTCTTTTATGCAGTCCGCATCGTCCTGCACTATGAGATCCCAGTCGCAGGCAGTGCTGCTGATGCAGACTCCGTCTCCGCCGCAGTAGGACATCAATGAAGGCTCTATAAATAAAGTATTATTATTGAATTAAATTAAGATATTTCTTTGTGTCTGTGGCAGATTTTGATAATTAAGGGTTCAAACAACTTCTTTTTCTTCTTTTTTTTTAACTTTTCCTCTTCCTGTGTTTACAAACATACAATTTTACATACGTATCACACCCAGACTCGGAATAACAATTTGTGGTCCACCCAAAAAGTTATTTATTATTTATTTATTTAGTTGTTTCGGAATCGAACCCTACCCTACTTTGCGCGGCAGCCGATTGCCCAGCCACCGCACCACCTTTCAAGTCAAAAACTGGACCATAAAGTTTTTTGACTTTTCTGAGATTTTTTAGTTCAATTGAGATAAGCCCTACATTTAACAAACATACGTTATAAAATTCCTAAATATTACTTAGGTACTTATTATTGAAATCCTTCAATCCTGTTGCAACGTGCAACGAAATCGTAATTCCAGCAGCCTATATCTCAATAGAACATTGTTTGCTACGGCGTAGCATAGCAACTCAACAATAATCTGATAATAATATTTTGAAAATGAAAACAAACAATTTCAGTAATCGAATAGCGGTTTAGAGAATAGAAAGCTTCCGTTCTCTGCCTTTGTTCTCGATTCCATGCCAAAAATCAAACAATAGCGAATCAGTTGGAGCTCAACGTCAAAGAATGAATTGTCAAAGAATTTTCCTTTTATGCAATTAAGGAGTTTTGAATTCAAATATAGAAGCGTGATAGCGATTCGAATTTTTTCAAACATTTCCGTCGACAACGAGTGAATGCTAATTAGAACGAAATTCGTTTAGCTGGATCGTCGGTCCGCGCTAACCAATCGGATTGGGCCGATGTCGCCAACATTATCTCAAGCGGACTCGATTCGATTTACGTATTAATGCGATTATAGATGGATGTTGGGAAATTCAGCGTTTTGGCTAAAATAACTGTTTGGATACTGCTATATTTTTGTTGCTGTACGTACTTAATAAGGGACAGGCAATACGGGTAGACAGAAAAATGTTACTCATAATTCCGCATTAAATTTGAAACAGCTTTCGCACGTGTGGGCGACTAGTTCCGAGACCCGATGCTCTTTAATCTAAACATTAAATCTATATGTTTGAACTAATGAACACAAAATATTTCGTTTCACAAATTCACTTTCTTTCATTTTCTTCAGAAGCTGTGTTGCCACGTTGCCAGACAAGTAAATTCACACAGTCATATTAGTTAAGATTATAACACTCCTACTTTTTGTTAAGAATGAACAAAATAGCGAGTGTGCACTTACCTTCACCGTGAAGGTGATAATTCAGTCTGGGGCTTGTTGGGCGATATGTTAGTTCGCTATCTGGAACACAACCATAGCTAAATGTTAATTTCATTGTATAAAAATTTCTTTTGTTAACCTATTTACAGTTTATATTTCCAGATTGAAACGTAGTTACTCCCAGTTGCATAAACGACTTTTGACTTCGCCAACTTCGACAAATATATGAAAAGGCTTTTTATTAAATAAAGAAAACTACCATAAATGTTAAACATATTTATATCACTATTTAAAAAGCGAAATTCCCAGCCTGACTTTATTACGTGGTTTACAAAGGAACAATTAAAAAAAAACAAAGAATTACAGTGAATATAGTAACGGGGAGTTTAAAGGAATTTTGTATTCTCTGTGGTGGGCGCTCCGCCTTAATATGATTTCGTTCCGTGCACAAGCAAATTAACGTTTCATAATTAGCAGCGTTAATTCTTTGTTGGCCTTTGTCAGAATACAGTCAACACTTAATGTTAAAGTGTGTCATGTTAGCTTTTTATTCGAATAAAATATTAGAAATAATTTGAAAGGAACATAACTTTTACTGTTTTTTTGGTGTAATGGTCCAGTTGGCTTAAATGTATTGTTTTTTTGGTCTTATAAAAATCCAGTTGGCTGTGTATATTTGAACAAGAGGTACTGTATAAGGCACGTCTTTTGAGAAAAAAATTTTCGTAGATTTTCCACTTGACCCAAAAGTTGTCGTCGAACGTCATTTCATTGTTTACAATAAAGCATAAATAAAAATGTAGGTAACATGTACAATTCTGCCTTTCTTTCACCGGCTTTTAACAGAGGCCATTAGATATGTTATTTATAAAACTGTTTTTTTTTTTCATCAGCCATTACAGCGGGTATTATGTTATGGGAAAAGTAACTTGAATGAATCGTACAATAGTCATCGTGCACGAAGATACTTTATAAAAAAGAATCTGTATCACTTTAAGCCATACTACGTCTTTTACCTTCGAAGCGATGCCTCTCCATATCTTGCTTGACATTAAAAATATAATCATCTTAATTCTTGTTTTAATAAAACAGAGTTGAATATGCTCGCGGAGGTTATGACGGACTAGTCTTAAAAAAAAACGTAAAACTAAGCATGACACGATAATAATAAAACAGCGTACTGCATTGTATTACAAACGACCACTGCTGTTTCGTAAACGTTTGTCAGTGGACGCGGGTTCTAATCTCACAAGCCGCGGCATTTCATTCAACAAACTTGTACAGGATGTTAAAATGGTAACCATTAAATAGACCTAATTTGACTTTAAAATCCTAATATTTATATTGGTACATAACCCGTAGATTTCGGTTATGTATATTTTTTAGAAGCAAATGTATTGTGTAGGTATGTATTTGTGCTTTTTTCATATGTTATATCGACGAACAGACTCAGTATGTGTTGATGTTTAAAAATAATGATTATTAATTTTAATTTTAATAATTGATATTATACTCAGAGATTGACATAACCAGACATTTGTTATAATGCAATGAAAAGCATGCAACTTTTGTTGACGGGGTGGACCCTTCGAATGGCGCCTTGCTTTTGAGGAAAAAGACTAAGGAGTTTGGGATGTTGACCTCATTAAAACCTCATATGTGTGTGTAGGTGGCTACCATCAACACCTTTAAGGGAAACTGGGGCGTCTCCGTACATCAACTCCGAAGACTGTTTTAGGGGGCAAATCATTGAATGACGTCTCTTGCCCAGGGTGAGAGGCAATACGAAGTATGAGACTGTTACTAAATTAAACCACCCCGCTCCTTCTTCTGCTCTAGACCCTGGCCGCTGTATCTGCTGCGCTTTCCCCGCAACCCCGGCTGAACTCTACAGTCCATAAAGAAATATGGTCCTACATAAACGTTTTTGAAACACCTTGTATTTCGTTAAACATGTTCCATTGTACTAACTTTGTCCGCGGTACTAAAAACTTTTATTTTTCAACTGAACCTTGTGTACTGAAGCAAAATACATTTTTACCTTTGTACTGTTTTGATGTAACCTTCTCGTCTACTGTGGTATGAATTCGTTTCGGCTAGGTAACGAGCTTATGAAGGTATGAGTTGTTAAAGCATTATTTTGTTTGGAAGCGGGTTTGTCCATACTAGTACTAGTTGAATTCGTTGTTTTGTCTACCTCTTGTCCGTTTCGTTGTTTTCTGTACCGCTGCCCATGGACACCCGCAACACCCTTGGCTTGCCAGCATGCGATTGGGGAGGGGGATTATTAGGCCTCCGGTAACTTTAAGAAAGTATGATATGCTGAAGCATAGCTCTCCTACATTCTCAGTGATAGAGTCCTCTCTATTAAGAGTGGATCCGCCTGTAGGCTTCTAGCATATCGAAGAGCACAGCAAGGAGAGCCAAGAAGTAATCAAAATACACAAGATTTTTTTCTTTAATTTTTTCAACAGAAAGCTTATTTTTAATGGTTGGTAACATTGGAACCACCATTGTAATTTAAATGAAATGGTTGTTTGTTTTTATTTGAATATATATACATACGAGTATATAGGGATGGCAATTCCGGTTTACATTTTGCAATTTATGTATTTATACATATGTACTCGTCTGTATTGTTTTACTTTGCTTTTTCCAATACCTTTAAAATTTATTTATCGCTACATAAATAAAATTTATGCACAAATAAAATTTATTCATTTTACTTTAACCAAATATATTTACGCAGCTGCATCAGAAAATACATATTATATGGTTTGTAAATAAAAATTCTTGATTTATTTCATAAACACAAAGGAACAAAGACTTCATTTGAGTCTGTTAAATCTGACCTAAAAAGCCGTTGAATAATAATAATTGTTATTATTTAATTTTTATTTATAAAAAATCTGAATTTTAATGTCAAACGCGTAACTACTATAGTGAAATACAACCGCTGTAAAATATTCTCCATACAAATCATATTAAGTGACGTTCGACCAAGATTTTTGAGGGAATTCGTAGGTATTCTTCAAAATCATTTTTACGTTAAGTTTGTCGGGATTAAAACAGTTTGTTTCAGTATTTTTTCTCAGAACAGTCAGATAGGAAACGCCGGCTTTATTAAGTTTATATTAAGTATCGTGTCACAGTGATGTTTTATGGGTTATTCAAAAATAAAAGAAACATTACTTCATTGTTTGCTTTCAAATTATTCTAATAAAAGCAAGTAGGTAATGGTTTCTCAGACCGCTAAATCAACACAAGGGTAGCCAGAGGTTGGGTCTATGTCATGTCTGTCAGCAAATGATTACTTTTTCTGCAATATTTTATGAGCTATTTAGATTTTGCAGCTACACAGCGCCAAGTATACCCTTGGGCCATCTTCTGATAAAAATGGCGGACTCGGCCGAACTGCTTCGTATAATATATTGCTGAAGTTTTGTCCGAAACGGAATACCGTTAGCCGTTATACAGAACATGATTCCGGTAAAATATTTGAAAAATGGACCTGGGGCGGGCGGCGGCACAATATATAACTATGCCAAAAGTCCCGTTACTTTTGAAAAATCGAAGTGAGTTCACGGTTATTTAGCATCGGGGTGAAACTTGAACTGTGGCGCAAATTTCTGATTCTGATGGAACATTCTTCGTCTTTCTACTTTGGTGCCTAACATAAAACAAAGTCACGTTTTATCCTTACTTTTATGTTTATGTTACAGGTAACAATTTCATTTTATTTTTTCTTTGCGTGGGCCTTATGTTTTTTTTCCACCAAATATAATTTTGTTAGTTTCCTTACATTAATGAGTTTTAACTCTTTTGTTTTTAGTAGGCATTGTTTTGTTTTTGTTTATAAGGTTTACCTTTGAGTAGTTATTGGACTGTAAAGTTTAATTGCTTGTTGCTCTTTTGTTTACATTTTGAAACAATTGTTGGTAAAATAAATTCATATATAGGTAAATAAATATGAATTGGCTTAGACTTTGGTCCTCCTCTCCTTAACCAGGTTTGCACGTTTAACTTAAACTTTCGCGTTTCATATTTACAACATTTAATCACGCGGGTATTAACGAGGAAAATAATTATTTAAATACCTTGGTAGGCTTGACGTTTCGACCTGGTTGCACAGGTCGTGGTCGCAAGCAGACTGAAACGTCAGGCCTACCAAGGCATTTAATAAATATTTTCCGCGTTAATATCCGCGTAATTACATGTTGCAGGATTGCCAGTTTCTCCATGCTTGGTTTAGATAAGTTGCTGTGTAAAAAGGTTTCACATTATCAATAATTGCTTGGTCAAGACTCTTGTGATTCTTGCGGTGGATATTGTAGAGTTACACATAATGTATTTTATTGAGTCGTAACGAATTGAAAGAAAAAAATCTATGATATTGTTACTTTGAAAGACAATCTACATATCTTCTTAAAAAGTAAACAACAACAACAACTCACCTGTAACTTCTCTTGTGTAGCGGGTATCTATGGACGGCGCTGGCCATTTCTTATAAAGATACAGCACTGCTCGTTTATCACCTATTCCATAGAAATTGAAATAATAAATTTTTAAGACTTTTTTGGAGTAATTTAAATGCACTTACGTAAAGAAAAATTGACTTTTTACACATTTTTATAAAATATAAAAATGTTTTAACCCATTTTAACCGTGACCCGGTTCTGAAATGCCTCGATACCTAGTTTTCTAACGGGTCATAATAAGGCCAAGGACATTGTCTTACATGTACCAGGGCATTGAGGTCAGCGACAGCCTGATAGTCTCTCATTATAGGAAAATTTCTTAGTAAAGTTGGCACTTAGAATAGAGATCGAAAAAATGCAAAAAACATGTCTTTTTACTTAGATAAAGGAATTACACATGTAATGAGTTATTTCAATCTGTGTTTCCCGAAGGGTATAAACCTGGGTGTCTTCAAGGCCTGAGTGAATAGGTTGCTTATGGGTAGACATATTCCATCGTAGGTCGCATTATCGTTTACCACCAGGCGTGATAGCGGTCAAATTCGGTCGGCGAGGTCGCCCATTCCAAAATAAAAATAAAAAATATCACCATTACTCGCTTCACGCGGCGATTCCGCAAAAAAATGATGAACACATGTAATAAAAATGAAATTAACACTTACTTTGTGCGTCTGAATAATCAGATATAATTTCAAAACCATGACAAATATGTTCAAGAGTTATTAAACTAATATAAATGTGCACTGTAACAGAGAAAAAATTCAATAAAAAACACATTTCAAAACATAAAAGTCTTTACACGTTTAGACATAACTGTAAAAATCACATCGTATGATTACGTTCGTGCTTATTTCATTTGATAAGGAATTATGATGCAAACCAATTAAGATGACAAATATTAAAAATTGTTATTTTATTGACGCATGCGACTCCAATTTATAGTATAAGCAATTAACATTAATTCGTCACTCAAATAGGTTTTATTACATAACGTAATATAAATAAAGAATGTAACAGAAAAATAATAAAGAATACAATTTAAATTTCGATTTCGAAATTTAAAAATTCGAATGTAACGATATGCGATCCATTTACATGCTGAGTAATACTGGAAAGATGAAAGATTTATTGTATATTGCATAATAAGTAGGCTCAGACAATATTGAGTCACTAATTGAAAAATTCTTTCAGCATGCTAATTTTTCTTTACGATGAGCAATTATAACAAAGACAATACTACAGGATCACAATCCAGAAGGTCTTCTCGTCTTATATTTAAAATTAAATAAATATTTATTATATATATTTTTTGATTATAAATTTTTTTTTTATTAATAAATTTACAAAAGCTGTAAGTATCAATTCAGTTATATCTACGAAGAAATACCTCACCACCTATTGAAATTAAGTGTCCATTAGTCTTGGACATATAAGTCTACACTATGTAATAAACTAACTACACTAAATGTAACATTAGGTACATAAAGAAAATTGCATATTACATAATACGAAACACGAGCTAAGAATAAAGAAGCTATGAATAAACAATTTTTATGAAATGCGCACCATTCTACTCAGTTCAGGCATAAAATTCACAGAAAACATAATCTGATAAAGCATTCATTTATGCTGTTCCATTTATAATAATAATTAGGAAGAAATATGCGCAAAGGAAATTTGACAACATAAGTGAAATTGAAAATCCTTATCATTTTTCCTGTAGCTAGAAAGTTAGTGCTTATTCTTCAGAAAAACGCTATTAAAATAGATTCTAAATGTGTCTGAGAAAGCCATGCTACGGCACGAATGGGTCGGTCCGATAGAAGTGATATCACGCCTCATTGAAAACCAGTGTGAAACAACAGCGTTGTATTTAGTCGCCCCCAATCCCCATATCCCCAAAACCCCTTATCCCGGGCCGCTTAAGGCATTTGCAACTCCTCTGGTCTTGCTGGTGTTCATGGGCGGTACCTCTTGCTCATCATCAGGTTAACCGGCTGCTCGTTTTTTGCCATGTCACAAAAAACTTAGTATTTTGGAAATGCATATGTATGTAGGTTTTATTATAATTCAATATTACTTATTCAATAAACGCAGTATACTTATTCGTATGTGATTTCTAAATTTAAAATCTTTGTAGCAGACAGACTAGATAGTAGACACTCAAAAAATGAAAAAAATCATGAACACTTTAATATCAAGTTTTATTAAGGTGAACGTGAAAGAAAATCGATACAAAACGACTATCTATAGAATAGTAATAAGGAGGCATTCAGGTAGCTCCAGAGCGTGGAAAAGGCTTCTATAGTTCGTGTCTATCAGGCCGTATGAATAAGACAATATGCGAGTCTCCCGTTAAGTGAGAATCGAGGTATCTGCTCCTCCGGGACTCCTTCGAGCCTGCCTTCAAACTTCAGGTACACTGAACAACTTTTATATGCGATGCCTTTCAGCTTGTACTGTTTTCGTTTTACATATCTAAATTGAAATTATTTTTGAACGTTGTTCGGATGATGCTTGCTTTTTTGTGCTTGTATTGTTGTTAAAAGAAATGCGTATTGTTTTTTTGATTAGTGTTACGTTTTATCGTGTTTTTTTTTGAGGTGGGAAGTCCTCAAGTTACTTTGACCTCTCCGGGGAGATGGAGAGTCAGACACTTACTGACTAGGAACCACCCGTGTTCCTTTTTCTGCTTCTGGCTGGGCCCGTGGAACATCATGCTTGCGTCCTCAACCACGGGTACCTACCATTTGCGCTACATTTTAGAAATCGAATCAGAAATCAAGTTTTTAAAGGAAAAATATGAAATATAATCGTATCTTTATTATACATGTATGACATTAGTTTCTCTGTGACTGAACATCGGTAAATGTTTAACTCAATGCTTAACGATATAATCTGACGTCGCACTGTTATCCAAACCTGACTAATGAAGTTTAGTTAGGCTGGCTCGCGATCCAATCTCCCACCGCCTATTGCGCGCGACATAAAGAATCTTACTGGATGTGTTACGAAGCATATACGTTAAAAAAAGAGATACGTACAGAAAAAAGTTTCTCTCATAATTAACGTAACTTACTGCAAATTTCACTTTTTCTTCATGGATGCTTCTGAGAAAACAATTTTCAAATTTTTCGTCAAGATCTGTAAGAGAAATCTTTGTTCTGTAGGGAATAATATGAATGAAACTGTAATGATAAGAATAAAGGTGTGAGTTTTTGTTCCTAAGCTAGTAAAGTTACAAGACAAAAGTCACAAAGTCATCACGTTTGTGAAAGATGAAATATTGTATTGTGTCTCCAGCTGGGACGGTGTCGTTTCTAGTTACGAAGAGTGTTGGCTCTAATTCAGCTCGCTCGGATATTGCAATTTCCATCCAACTCACGCCCACTGCGTCTCCCTTCCATTTCGTTTCATATTGCGCTGCAGTAACAACACTTGACGTTTATGAATCAAATTTCACAGGTAATGCCACAATCTGATTAACAAACTAGACGCTCTGTAGTAGTAGTTGCGGATTCTACTCTTGAAATTCTAACATTACCCAACTGTTCCTAAAAGTTATTAGCGAGAAACATTACTCACAAGATGACAACTGTTTGCCTCCACTAGTTCAAACAACACGATTATTTGTTTAGGTCCCGCACATACCTAGCATTCACACAGCAGCTATACGTTTCATTGGCCTACAAAAGATTTTCGTCGACAACAGACGACCGCGACCCTTTTAATGAAAAAAAATTAGACGCTTTGTAATATTTTTAATTTTATTCACAATCCGTGTATTGTTCTGGTAGCGAGGGTCGGCCGGAGGGTACACCGCTGTTATAATATTCAGCCTCCATACCACAATGTTTTATTTAGCCATCTCGGCAGCTTCAATATTCATCACTGTACTCGGATCTCTCTTAGCTCCTGAATAAAATACACTAGGCACCTCCACGTCTACATTTAGGCTTTCGGTTCATTTTTAATAAAGCAACGAATGTTTTATAACTACTAGAACATTTATCGTGCTGTCTCACAACGCACCTTAAATCAAGATTGAATCCATGAGCTGGAAAATAGAATTTAAAAGAAAACACTGCATTTAAATAACATTCAACGCGGCTGTAGTGTGAAAAATTACATTAACCCGGAAAGTAGTGCAACGTTTTAAAGATAAAAATATTCAAGCAAATAGCGGCCATTAAGAGACAGTAAGCACAAAACTTATGAGAACAAGAGTCAGTCGCCGAGCAAAATGGATATTTGTTGAGTCCGAAAGCCGTGGAGCGTTCGCGTCAGACTGGCTGAACGCGGGACGCCGGGACGTGACCGCACTTTTTAAGTTATGCCTCTTTTACATCTCTATCCTTTAATATTAAATGGATTTGAGTTTAAACGGCTTATTTCTTTAATTTTCTTTTGAGCTTTACTCTTAAAACATGATAGGCACGCAGCTAAATTAAACATTTAATTCGCTCAGTTTGAGGACCCTTTTGAAAGGCTTCTCTTATCTTTATAATTTTTCATCTCCTCTTTTTTTTCTATGATTTTTACCGGTGTTGCAGCTGTATATAGGTTTACTTTTATCAACTGTATATAGCTGTATGTATGTGTGCTGTTAGTTAAGTTCTATGCAGGTGTTGAAATTGGCCTTAAAATGTACCGGCTTGGGGAGATACAACACCAAGTTATTCGCAAAATAACAAAGCTTCCGAAAAGCTCTCTGACCTGTTAAATTTATTTCGTATTCCACACGACTCCCTTGCGAGATTCGTGATTGTATTATATTCTTGGTAAATCACTTGAGGTGATGTCTGCTGCTGGCGTCGGTTCCCGCAGAAAACGTTCAAAACGAGCCCCAACTTGTTCTCACAATTCCTTCAGGAGTTCACTAAACGCTATTGGTATCAAAGTGTCAGTTCAACCGAGTAACCGCAAGCCCCTTAGCGTTAGAGAAGTTAGTGTCGGCCCGACTCGTGCCCTGTCTGCGTCGCTAGTTGATTACTATTCCACTTCGAAGCTGGTTGCACGTTCCATCTCTTAATTTGATAAGATATTTCAAAGTGAGCGAACAGTGTATAGCGTTTAGCATATTCGGTTGTTTGAGGCGGTGCGCCAGTGTGCCAAGCACAGACCGCAAACATCGGCTGACGTAGTGAAGATGCGGCTACGTGAATTGACACCATACCGTCGTTAACAAGATGAGATGAACTTTATTGTTCTTAATACAAGGTTTATGTCTGAAGTTTAGAACCACAAACGGCTTTGCGAGATTCTTGTCGCAACAAAGGCTGAAAATTATTAGAAAGTATAATAAACATGCTGAGTTTGGATTATAGTATTACATGTTATGTGCGGGATGAACGTATTGTTCATTGTATGTTAAATGAAATGGGTATATGACGGGTTTACTTTGACTACTACCTAGCAACACGTCACATGAGATATACCTACGAGTAACGATCCCTTCGAACGTACATCCGATAAGCTTGGCATCCGTCATAAAGAAAAGAATGGTCAAAGGTGAAAGGAATTTGGAATAAATGGCACCTGTAGGCGCAGATCAAAGAGCAACATTACAAAGAGAGCGAAGGACACACGGGGCTTTGGTCGGGGCCTTTCAATTGGGACATCCAAAGAACGTAGGATTGCCATGATCGACGCTTTTCAGATACCAATCACGAGCCTTTGACGATTCCGTTACAGATAGTCGTATATAATACTGGTTACATCAATATCTTTTGTGTGAAGATAAAGCGTTAATTTCCAGAAACGATTTTCTTGGATCTTTTCGAATGTGCTGATTTCAATATTTCATTCGATATCCGATGAGAATATAACGACAAAGAAACATTACGACAACAGAATGTGCTAATATATTAAGAAACTCGTCTTTTAATTTATCATTAAAGATCTAACATATTGTATGTGTACGATAAAAATTATATGTAGCTTATCGAGGAAACGACACTGACAAGAATTTTTAACGTTTCAATAGTTTTTGGTGTAGTGAAACTAATATGTGTTAAACCGTGAGATATTTCGGTCAGAATTTAATTACTATGTCCGAACAATGACGTCAGAGGGTGACGCAGCTTTTGTTAGGTCATCACGGCACGGTGGAAAGTTTGCCAGCGGCCGGACGGGTCTACATCAATCAAATTTTGACGTTCGATTTTTTCCGTCCGCCCTGCGGAATGACATAGGGATAACTTTTTGAAGTATTGTCACTTTTATTACCAACACCGAACGTTTCTGTCAGTGCGAAATTGTCATAAATTGGACCAAAGTAAAATTGGTATTGAAGAAGAATTCAATAAACATTATTGTTGCGCCTTGTGTTCAATTTGGTTACGCTGTTTCTGGTAACCTTTTGACAGTCAAAAAAGTTTCTTTAGCTTAGTAATTGAGTTTAAATACAATCGAAAACATGCACATACATTCTCACTTTTTAGGTATCATGCGAGTTCTACGAATGTCAATGAATCTAATAATGCGGAAAGAGGAGCGTACCTAAGTCAGTATTTAATAAAATTGTAGTGAAGGCAATCAACGAATGTGCGGGGCCGTAATCCGGCCGGTCCTGGGCACGGACATAAATCACGGGAGTGCGACGCAATTTATCGCTTCAGTCCCACATTCACACACGCACACGCATCGCTTTTTATTGCGTCATAGATACCAGTGTTCACGCATAGTAAATATAATTTACTATCCCTAGAACGACCACCTTCCCTGAGACATCTCTCTGATATTAATAAAATATTAGTTTTCATTTCAGATTTTTCGAAAGGACGCGCGACTTTTTTTCTGCGAAGAAAATAATAAAAATATCACAGATTACGCCGGAACTGCCAACAATACATAAATTATAAGACGAAAGTTTAACATAAATAACGTTTCATTCGTTTTTGGTGTTCAGATGAAAGAGATTAAAAGAAAAAAATATAATAGCATTTCGTAATGTATATTTTTATGACAAACGACCTGTTATCTAAGGATAAAGCGTTGTAAATATTTGTAAATGGAACATTCTTTAATCTCTGGCATTTTGGAAAATAAATAATTACTCATTTCTACATTTGTCATAAAAATGGTTTTGTATTATGAAACAAATGGAAAGGTTTTTGTTGTGTGTTCTTTTTTTAAATTATGTCTCATCGAGAGTATTGATTCAAATTGGAGGTTGATGATAATGTGTGTTGTACTTTTTTAATGCTTCGCGGCTCCGGTCCGGTGCTTAACTGAGTTGTGAACATTTTAGGAGTTATCGGCAGAGTAGTTTTGTCGACTAATTGTTCTACATGTTGTTCTTCCAGATTCAGATCTTATTGTATAGAGGTTTCAGACATAGGTACCAATTTGATTTGTAAACATACAGAAAAATACCATATTTAAGGACTGAATAGTAAAATACCATATAATAAAACATTTAACATACACAATTGTGTAAAGTGTGGGAGGGCCATGCTTCTCCACGAATAGGTCGGCTCGACCGGAGTGATACCACGACCTCACAGAAAACCGGCGTGAAACAACCACAGCGTTTTGTTTCGCCGTGCGAGTGAGGTTACCAGAGGCCCAACCCTTCCCCTCCCTCGATCCCTCCCTAATCCCTTAATCTCCAAAACCCTAATCCCTAAAAGCTCGGCAACGAACTCGTTGTCTTAACTCGCTGATTGCTTACCATCAGGTAATCCGTCTGCTCGTTTGCCGACCTATTATATAAAA